GTCCATTGATTTTATCTTATTAAAGTAACTGTATTGCAGGTGTTTGGTGCACTCTTGTTGTATTTTGCTTTTAGTGTTAGCAGCTGTTTCCCAGCCAACTTGTGGAACTGCAGGGCCCATGTGATTTATCATCTCATCATCATACAAGTAGATTCCCAATGGATTGACCATAATTGCAACATATAGGCTTTCTGAATGTTCGTTTACTTCTGTTTAATTGGAGGATGAGATTTTGGCACACCTGATAACTTACTTTAATAAAGAATCACCTGCTTGAACAACAATGTGTCACTGACCTGCTTGAGTTACAGTAAAATACCAAACTGGCTGAGCTGTGGTATCTTAATAAAGATCCTAAACTACAATATAATGATGACCTGCCTGATCTGCACTGCCACAGAAACCTACATGGTCTACACTGCCACACCAACCTACATGGTAAACACTTCTATAGCAATCTACATTCTCTACACTGCCACAACAACCTGCTTGGTACAATCTAGATAAATTCAGGAAGATGTGGACCTGCTGGGCCTTTTTTGTAGGCACGGCTGACTTTACCAACATGCAAAGACAAGAATGACTTCTGATAGACAGAGGAAGAGGCATCAACTTTATCCGTAACTCGTCCCAGCATACCTACCAACCACGACCAAACCACCTCACGCCACACACCCCCTCTACCCCATTCCCCCTACCCCCTCCACATTGCCTACCCTCCCAACTCCCCTCCACTTACTCAAATATGACCCCATCCTTCTGGGTTCCCACCGTTCCGTTAGCCAGATACCAGGGTACTTACCTCGAACGTACATCGCACCGCCACTTTGGCGCAGAGGCCATTAGACCCATGAATAGACCTATGGTATCCATGCATACATGGGCCGCACATGTTCCTTTTGGTGCGACCCAGGGAATCCGCCAGCTCACACGCAGATGTTATATATATAGAATGTGAATACAAGCTGGTAATGTTTATTTCTACTGTCCCTTTCCTTTTGTTGGTCCGACCGACCATAAGGTCAATACACCTTTTGTTAACATACATCGGTACTTGATTTATACCAACGATTGTACTCATTGTATGACATGTTACTTGTTGAAAACTAATAAAAACCATTTAAAACAAAAAAAAACAAAAAAACAACTTGCTTGGTCTACACTTCCATAGCAACCTACATGGTCTACACTGCCATGCCAACCTCCATGGTCTACACTACCACAGCACCTTACATGGTCTACACTACCACATCAACCTACAAGGTCTACATTGCCACAGCAACCTACAAGGTCTACATTGCCACAGCAACCTACAAGGTCTACATTGCCACAGCAACCTACATGGTCTACACTGCCACACCAACCTATATGGTCTACACTGCCACAATAAGCCTATGTGGTCTACAGTGTCACACCAACCTGCCTGAATAACAGTATCAAACAAACCTGTTATTATCTGCGATTTGTATTCACTGGTTACTGCACATCACAGAAGTTTCATTAATTGCTACTGATAGCATCCTAATCTGTATGTAAATCCTAACAATTAACTTATTTTCTCTGCTCCCTTTTGGGATGCTAAATATACTATCTAAAATATTTTGTTACATCTTTTTTATAACTGCAAATAATATCTGTTGATTTTGAGGAGAAGATAAGGAGAGGTCTGTATTCTTTGCAATGCATCAGAAATAAAGTAGACAGGACTAACAATGCATGTTGTCATGTCAAAGAGGCAGATAGCAGCACATTCATTCCTTTCACATCAATAGTTATTTTTCTGTATCTGCAGCATGGGTAACGGGATAAAACACGGGGAAAGTGGATGTACTGCAGAGATGTATAAATATTTTTTTAATTTTGCCCTAACATAGGTTTTATTACATTTATAATCAGCAAAGAAAGAACTTGGTCATTTCAGGCCAGCCCTTCTAGATGTCTCAGTTGCATATATTTACATATATGCTTTATGTTGAAGACACATGCCACTGTTGAGGTAACTCTCTATGTGAGTGTTGTACTATTTTAAACTACTGGGGGGGTCACCCGTGTTTTCCTGAAATGAACTGCTGTGTCCTAAGGGCATACCAAACACTGCTCAATTGTGTTATAACTGGTAAAAGGTGAACTGGAAGTGCTAAGTTAAGCTGGTCGACTTTATGGTTAAACTCTACTGAATTCCAAGAACGTGTTTATTTGCCATCAATGGGCAGCATGGGAGCAGCATATCCTATACTTTTGCCATGGTAGCCAAGTAGTTAGTACTCATACTTTTCAATATTAGGATTCTAGGTTCTATTCCCACGGTGACCCTTACGCCATGGAGTCTGCCTTCTCTGCCTATGTTTACATGGGTTACCTTTAGCTGCTCTAGTATCCTCATAGAACCCAATATATATTGGCAAGTTAACTACCACACAATTTTGTCCAAGCTAGTGTAGCTCTATCACTGTGGTAGGAATGTTTGATCCTTAGGACTGGGACACATGAGAAAAGTATATATATTATGTAAAGAACTAGATAAATAAATACATACAGGTTCTCTGATTCTATATGTTCTGGTTAAAAAAAAAAGATACTGTACATGAAAGCAACTTCTAAGGGATACACTTGTGGCTTCTTAATGAGGTAAAGCAGCACATAGATGCGAGAATACAGTATAAGGAATAAAAAAAGGAACACAACTTTTTATGAAGGAGAAATTACACAGCTTGATAACATGACATCAGCTTTCCAATTTTCCTTAAGGCATTAACAGCCTTGACTTCAATGTCTGCTGCTGTGTTTTCCCTTTAGTTGAGCATCAAGCTAATAGCTGCACAGCATGGTGGAGAGACTGCAGCAGGGAAGAGGCGCTGACATCATTACATCCCCCGAGGAAATCCTGGTAGAGGCTGACTGACAAGCAACGTGCAGCACTCAAACTCGCCTCCTCTCAGAATGTGGGCATAAGTGATCCCCTGTCTGCCGTGCCCTATGTTCTGCCCTCTCAGCAACTAACACAAACGCTTTTTAAATGAACTGCCAGTAGTTAATAGATATAAATCAAAGCAAAGTCACAATGTTATGACTTGGGAAGAGATAGAATACCATTATAATGGCTGATACAGATCTCCACTGGAATTAGAATGGAATTGTAGGTTTAAAAAGTACTTGTTGGTCATTATCCATTTTATACGATGAGCCAGTGTTAGCTTCACTGGACACTGGTCACATAAGCACAGACTAAGACATATTGAGCCTATACAATGCCTGTCTCCACATTGTATGCCTCATTCTAGACTAACTTCCCTAGTTTCTAGTACAACATACTAAAAATTAGTGGACATCTGACCTGCATGAGCTTGTTGAACAGCCCATTCTAAATCTATGGCCATAATTATGGGGTTGCTCCGTCACTTTTGCAGCTAAAACAGCCTCCACTCTTCTGGGAAAGTGTTCCACAATATGTTGGAGTGTGTTTATGGCAATTTGTTGGATGAGAAAACCTGCCTCACAATCAGCATTCCAATTCATTCGCACAGGGCTCTATGCAGACCACTTGAGTTTCCCCACATCAAACTGGTCAAACCATGTCTTTATGGTATATTTTAGCCTAGTGCTTCTGCACTCAACTCCTTTCTCAAAACTACAGCTTGCCAGCACAGCCAATATGTAAACACATCCAAATATAAAAGTAATCAAGAATTAAGAGCAGCGCTAAATAATCCCTATTTGAATATTAGTGCATAATTCATAAATGATTCAACAACTTATAATTAGTATACCGTATATATATTCAAATGCAACATAAATACATGCAGAAAATAATCACCGTTAGTTCAGATAATAGTCCGTAATGATGTGATGTGATACATGCTCTAATACAAAACAGTTCTATCAGCTCAATCTTTCCTCCCCAGCCTTAATGTCCCTGCCCGTCCCCTTTCGTTCAATGAATTTCAGTTCTCTCAGTCATGGAGGCTCAGACTCACACGTATGCCTATGAACGCCTACTCCTCTAAACTGACATCTATCCATTAAGGCATTTTGATATTTGCATAGCTCCTACCAAGAGCCAGCTCACTGCTTGCATCATGGATGAGGGCTATGCTGTTTTCAAGAAGCTATATACAGCACCCTGTCAGCTCCTCCCACCAGCTATAGGTGGCCTGCATGGCATACAGAAGCACAGAGACCCAGCAATGAGTACACTGGGACTAAAATAAGGTGTGTAATGAAAACAGAAAGGTTATATTGAAGCATTTAATTAGTATGTTGGTGAGGGGGGAAAAGGATGAACCAGCAAAGACAAAATATAAGCAGATTGAAATTCAGCTTTAACCATTATGAATAGGTTAGAGCAATGTGAAATTTCAGAACATTGTTCATTTTTTCCTTGTTTTAGTGCTAAACAGGGTCATCCCTATAATGAGGCAGCCGGAGGCGAATGCCTCAGGTGGTATCTGATTGTTCACATGGGGAGGCAGCAGGTGTGCCTTTTGCTCCCTTTCCGGCCAGAGTGTCAGAGTGTCAGAGCAACCTGTGACGCCCTACCCGGTATCCCGCCAAGCTCACTGGCATCACTGGCTGCTAGGAGCTGAGCGGGACACTCTGGCTGGTGTCCCTGGCAACCAGTGATGCTATTCAGCTGGGCGGGATGCTGGACACAGCCAAATCCAGAGATACCACAGCAACCCCAAACACCCCACACCCCTGTACCATGCACCACTAGCATTCCCCTTTAACAACATTTGCAACATGCAATGACCTCAGGCGGTGGAAAGTTCTCCTGGTGCTAAATGCCCACTGCTGAGGACAACCATATAGGCTACCAATAACAATTCTAGCATTTTTGGATTAGGTACACATCCAAAATTAAGGCAGCAACAATGCTTCATTGCAGTACATACAGTAGGTAGGGTAATATTTTCATTTAAAGTTTATCTGCATAACAAAAGTAGGAGGTACAAGCAAGTCTTTAAACACACATAGATCTTAAGTAAAAGTTACAGTTTTACCTCATACAAAGGGAAACAAATGTTGTCTATCCATTCTAACTGCAATCTAGGAAGTTCGTCTTTCCTATTACGGTCAAAAATGGCCTGTTAAGGAAAATACACATAGTTATGGATTGTTTGGACAACACTTAAAGTACTTTTTATGAGCTTCATATATATTGTTCAGTTGAACATTTCGGTGTTGCCTTGATCTACCCATGATCAGCGATGAGAATGAAAAAAGAAGCAAGGAGCATTTTAGGCAGGCACAGCTTGCAAAACCTTCATGTAGAAAGGAACTTTGAACATTTTATTTTACACTCAATATACCACAAAAATTGATAATATAACATGCAGCAGTAAATTCAGCTGATGCATGCAAAAAAAGCCTTAATCAGTTGAAAACTTTATTTTTAATCATAGAATCTAGCAAACAACTTAGTGTAATAAAAATTCCTTATTCTAGCGAATGTAGAGCCAAAACTTGTTTTCATTTTTAGATAAAATAGAGAATGGTTAAGACCCTGTCAATTTTTTTAGACCCATTTGGAAGATTTCCCCTTCTGTTCCAAAGACACAACAGGGACAAATCTCTCAAAAGCAAGGGAAAACCTCTCTAAAGCTGGCCATGCACCTAGAAAAAAATCTATAGAAAATCTATATCAGCCTATGGTCAGATGGAAAAAGTGCAACAGATTCCTCCATCCATGCTAAACTGTGTGGATGGAGGAATCTCCCAATGGGCCAAGCTTCGGTATCTTGCTAGTCGGCCCCACTGGCTCTTAAAATACCTGAACAATGCCTGCATCTAATCAGATTGTTCAGGTATTTTGACAGCCTGCGGGGCCGACTAGCAAGATACTGAAACTTGGCCAAGTGGGAGATTCCTCCATACACACAGTTTAGCATAGATGGAGGAATCTGTTGCACTTTTTCCATCTGACCATAGGCTGATCGAAAAAAAATCTATAGAAAATCAATAGGTGTATTGCCAGCTTTAGACAGTTGCCACTGAACAGATTCCCCCATTGGAAGATTGCCACCTGTTTGATGGAAACTCTAAAGTTTTGGATTTCCCATCACTTTCTGATCTAGAGATAATGGTCATCAAGACAAACAGAGTTGGGAAATCTCCTTAACAAAAACACAGATAGCAATGAAAGTCCTAACCTTTCCTTCTCTATATAAAAAAAAAAGAAAGGTTTAGGGTTTACATATACTTTAATGCTTTTGTGAATTGAACCTAATGTTCTTAAAAGACGCCTGTACTGAAATAATGTAGGCTGCCTCAACCCTCTTGGTACTAGTTGCCCGGCTGTGGTATTGCTCAACATATTGCTCTGGAAACCCAGGTAAATCCAGTGTGGCTTAATTGAGAACTTACTGAAGGAGTCAACTTGAGCTCTGCTCGTTCCCGGTCTCCTTGCTCAAAGAACTCGCTGGTCACTAATTCCGCTACCTAAAAAAACAAAACAGTTTATGTTTTATTTTTTATCTGACTTCAGAAACATTTCCCATCAGTGCATTTCTCAAATACAGTTTACACAGCTGTCAAAATTTCCATAGATAAACTACTGTTGAGTTGGTGTTCATAAGCTCATACAGCACAATACATTTCATTAAACAACATAATTTATTGAATCCAGTTATGACATCTGTCCTTAAATTACATCAAAAGTTACATTTTGCAGGTATCCACACTGATCAGTAGAATTACTGAGAATTGTATTACCGAGCCTGTAGATATGTTCGGTTACCTGTGAAACATGCATTTTTGTTGGGACCTGAATACTAGTTAGAAAATGAACTGTATTCAGTAATATTGAATTATGTAATAAAATGGAATATAAATATTACTTCCAATAAATTATATGCTTTAACAATTATCATTTGAAAAATAGACAAGACTGTCATAACCAGATTATCAGAACTCATCATAGAAAACATGAAACACTTGGGGGCTGATGGGTCAGATTGAAAAAGCAAATATATTTATTTTCAGAGACAAAAAAAATCCGGGGACAGATCTTCAAATCAAGATTTTGTACCTAATACTGAAGGACAATTGTCAACTATGTTTCAATTTGTAATTTCAATGTGGGAGTGAACCATGAAAACCAAAGCAAGCCAAAAAAAAACAGCCCAATTGTCTCATTAGCCTTAAGCTGGCCACACACTGGTCGAATTTCAGTCAGTCAGCAGGACTCCGCTAAAATTCGACCAATGTGCGGCCCCATCGGGGAACCTTTCCTTCTGTTTGACAAAAGTGGATTTTTTTTTAGTTGACTTTTGTTGAAGGAGCCAATCTGAAAAATCTCAGCCAAACATTGACTGAAACCTAAGCTGCAGTCGCTGTTTGGGTATTCTGACATCGGTACACCTGCTGCTGTGAGGCTACAATAGACAGGGGGGGGATATTAGTGTGGATGGGGGAATTAAGAGTTTTTTCTCATTCAGCCACAAGCAATACCAACAGTGTATGGCCTACTTTAGTATCACACTAACTTGATGTCATAGCCATACATGACACACTGAAGCTGGGAGGAGGTAGGGTGAAAGAAAAAGTTTTCCCATTCTTTGTCAGTGCACTTAGAACCAATAACTAGGAGAGAGTAGAACAAATCATTTCTCTAATGCATTAGTTTGGTTCTAGGTATACAGACAGGGAAAACGCACACACAGTGGTCACATTGAGGACCCAGCTGGATGGTAGTGGCAGGAAGGACAATAGTTTGAAACCTTTTATTATATGCGAAAATGTGTTTTTGACAGTCAGCAATACGTTTTGTGGTTGGCTGTGTGCTGACTCTTGTAGCCCCACTGCCCTAGGACATTGCTTATGGTGGCAATGCAGAAATCTAGCCCCACACGTCATAATACAATCCTTAAATATAAAGTTAATTTCAGTAAAATAATCTAATCTTTCAAAATGTGTTGTTTTAAATGAACAGTTTAAACAACTTTAAATAATTTTCATTAAAAAAAACCCAACAACAAATATTTCTGGGGGAAAAGTCTATCGGATCCAAACAAATTATCTATTACTTTTAAATAAATGCTTTATTGAAATATTGTTTTCATTGAAAATAGGACATCTGACTGCTTTCTATGGCCATTATCTCACATTTCCTTTCTCTCGTTTTCACAAAGCATCCCCACTGAAGGTTTGATTTCAACTCTATGCTGAAAATATAAATACATTTGTCTGGGTTCGATTGTTCCAGCTCCAGCTCCTGCTGTTAATCAGTATTCTTTGTATTCATTCATATTACCCTCAGGATGTGATGGCCAATGAAGACATTTGACTGAATGAGTGGAAAGCCCTCAAATTTAAAAACTATGCAGGAACTGATTCATCATTGTCAGTATGTGACAGAGCCTGAGGTAGCTCCATGGGGCAGCCGTACGAGTTGAATGAAAGACGGCAAAGCTCACAACAGAAGGTATTACAAACCCAATTTTCTTCCCATTTCTTACAATTCTCATGCAGCACATTTTCGCAGAGGAAGAACACTGCACTGTTCATCTACAAGAGCTCACCTCATGGACAAGAAACATTTTACGATTTATAAATATAACTGCCAGGAAGACAACATTGCAATACAGCACCGGGGCATGTGTGCCAAGGTGATTTATTTGTAAAAATAAATAAAATATAAATATTGCAGAAAATCGTAAGACCAGGTCTGTGGCAAAGATGGATCAGCAATGGTGGCCATATATGTAAAGATAAAGAAACAATCCACCATATATTTAATTGTTTCCAACTGATCTTTCAAACACTTAGAATAAAAACCCTTATGTTCAATACAGTATAGGAGAGATCATTTTGGTCAAATTCTAATTATTATTATACAGGATTTATATAGCGCCAACAGTTTGCGCAGCGCTTTACAATATAAGGAAGACATTACAATCACAATACAAATTAAGACAAGATGGTAAGGAGGGCCCTGCCCAAATAGATTTTCCGCCAGAAGGGGTCATCCCTTTAATATGAAAAAAATTGTTTGTAGATCAATTGATCAATTGATTTCTGGAAGATTTGACATTGTAGCGGAACCTGTAGGGCCAGCAATTGTGTAAGCATTAATTTCTTGGAGATGTGAAGATAGGTCACCAGCACTCCAAAATGCAAAGAAAATATAATTTATTGCAAATAACATCACATAGGTCAAAATCGCCAAGGTTTCAGGGACGTGTAGGGTGCTTGTGAATTTAAAACAGTGCTGAGGGTGAGCAAATTAAAATAAATACCCAGTGTTAAAGGTCCTTGCCTCAAGGTGAGGAAGGGATCTGAGCAGGTCACTTCGAGCACCTATCTTATCTACACTGGCCTCAATGCTGTATTGTGTGCAGCAGGTACTTTCAACAATTTAGGGTTAAATTGTTGCTGGCATGTGTGTATTTTGCACAGATGATTTCTTCATATAAGAGCTTGATTGATTTATTAAGCAGTGTCATGGCCTCACCACACCCATACTGGTACTTTAAAAATATAAAATGACAGCACATTTATGAAATACAGTGGTGTATGTTACAAATGTGCTTAGAGCTTTGCTTGCTTTGGAACTTGAAAAGCCAGAAGGTGAACAGCCCTGTTACATGATCTGTCAAAGACATGTGACCTGCCTCTCCACCTATCAATGAGTGTTCTCTGTAGCGTTATGAACACTCCAATGGGCAATGCAGGCCCCACACCATGACCTGGATTCTATGAATGAGACCTCTTTTATGGCAATGTATTATTCAGTATATTTGTTGTCAATTAGATGACAAAAATATTTTCCTGCACCTCAAGCATAAAATAATCACAAAAACTAAATTCAGACCATAGAGCGTTGTAACTTTCCCAGTGATCACATATCCTTAAGGAAAAAAAAATATATAAATGCAGAGCAATATAATACACCACCGTTCCTATCAGAAAAGTGAAATCTTTATGGCGGAGTTTTGTAAGTCATATCCTATTATAACATTGTCCCATCAGCAAGTTCCTCCCCTATCGAGTAATAAATCAACTCTTGCCTGTCTTGAGGTCTCCCATGGTTTAGTTGCAGCGCCAAGGTCACATGCTGTCATTAGCATTGATCTGAAAGAGAGAAGTGGATCAAAGAAAACATACTACAAACATACTAAGCTAGTGTCCTTCACCCACAGAGATGTTATATATCATTATATCCATATGGGGTCTTCTATACCTGTGCCTACAGTCGATGGTGTTCCTGAGAATTCCAATGTAGAAAAATAATGCTCATTTATAATAATAAAATTGATGAATGATGTTTTGCTTTATACAGATGTTCACCAACTCTCTTAAATCTACATTGACATTTTATTTATTTCTCCCCAGGTCAATATGTAATTATGAATATAAATACATGTTTTCCGCTGGGACTTCAGCAGTTTATTTAAACGACAGGTTCAGTTTTAAACAAAACTCCAGCACCCCCTATATTCTGTGCTTCTCCTCTACCACTCCTCTTTCTACACATAGTGCAGCACATGTGCTGGCTAAGGACATGCGAATGGTGTTTGAGGGCATATGCTTCGGCTCGACTGAGCCAAAGTGACAGCCGAAGAGTGGAGAAAGAGCCGACCGATCTCCATGCAAATGACAGCTGGGCTGAGCCAGATGTGATCTTGCGGCTCGCTCCGCCCAGTTGTAATGACAGATCAGTGTCCCCAAATAACCTGGGCATGCTGATCTGTCACTAAACAATAACAACTGGACAGAGCCGGCCGTGACGTCACAGCCGGCTCTGCCCAGTTGTTATTTATTGGCTGGGACCTGCAAGAAGACAATAGGAAACAGTTGGGTGGAGATAGCTGTCACTGCTAGCTCCACCCAATTGTTTTTCTTTTTTTATCTTCTTTAAAACATCTTTTTTTTTATTTACATTTTAAAATGTATTTTTCAACTTTTTTTTCATTCTTCTTACTTATTTCCTATTCTCCTTGGAGGTACCGAGCAGAATAGCTGAGCCAAATGAGAATAGGGGTGAATGGCAACGGGTGAGCTGCTGAAGCTTAGGCTCAGCCGATCCATATGTTGGATCGGCTGAGTCGAAGTCCCTCTGCACTTCGGCTCACCCAAACATCAGCCATACTGTGCCGGAGTGAATAGCTGAACGTCATTCGGCTCACTTCACTTCAGCTGGGTTATTCACTCGGTTGCCTTCAGCAGCTCTGTGGATAACCCCTTAAATCGGTCAAAACCTTAAAGCAGAACTTTAACCCTTGCAAGGGGGCTACCCCTGCACTACAAAGGTTAAGTGCTCATTTTTCTCTAGGTGCTAAAAATTCTCACTCAAACTTTGTAGTGGGCTGGCTGCTACTCCGTTCCCTTGCGATGGCAATTACTTCGGAGTCCTCACGTCCTATACAGTGTATAGAGCATGATGATTCAAGGATCCTTAGACCGCTGCTTTGAAGGGGGAGAGAGGCTCCAAGGACCAGTCTAAGAGCAAGCCATTTCCAAGGATTGGGTGAGTATAAAAACAAGCATTTGCGGGGTTAAGAACACTGCAAGGGTTAAGAACATTTTTGGGCAGAGTCCCGCTTTAAATAAATAGATATAAAGAGGTAACTTTTGGTATAATTGTTAAGCTTGGCCCCAAGCCCCTCTCTTTTATTGCAAATGGTGGCTTAATTGACTAATACAGTCTGATTTGGAAGAGTGGAGGCTGGGTCAAGTCTAATATGTAGATGTAACTTCAGCTGCCTACATTGCTGGATCTGCTGAATGGTTTTCAGTGAACGCAACCTTTTTCTTTTATATACAGTAATACCTTGGTTTACAAGCATAATTCTTTCCGGCAGCATGCTTGTAATCCAAAGAGCTTGTATATCAAAGCGAATTTCCTCATAGGAAATAATGGAAATTCAGATGATTCGTTCCACAAACCAAAAATATTCATATAAAATGTATTACAATACTGTACTGTAATATAATACTGTACAAAATATAAAGAAAAATAAGCCGATTACCGGTACCTTAGTGGCCGGTGTGAGGGGGACAAGAGAGAGGAGGATTATTGTGTAGGAAAACTTTCACTATCACTAGCGGAATCACTGATATCTCTTGACTCAATGGAATCTTTTTCATTTCGTGAAACCTTAACAAGGAATCTATTCAATGCGACATTGCATTGTCATTAAAGAGACTCATCGTTCGCACTGCTACAGCCTTATTCGGTGGTGCTTTTCTAAAAAATTTTGCTCTTATTGCAAGACATTGCTTGTATATCAAGGCAAACTTTTTCAGAAATGTTTGCTTGTCTTGCAAAACACTCTCAAACCAAGTTACTTGTAAACCAAGGTATTACTGTACTCAGATTGGTTTGCACAGGTTTCTGACAGGCTCTTTTTTAAATAAATGTCCTATATAATATAATTCAATATGAATTCAATATATTAGTGTTGTTTTTGTTTGTACATTATAAGGCAGAACATTCCGGACAAACACAACATCAATCCTTGTTTCTTCTTTTTACCTAAATATATCTCTGTGATTTTTAACATTCCAGTTGTAGTCTCCTTTACTGACCAGTCCGAAAAACTCATTTCGTCTCCTGCAAAACACAGAACATGGGCAGGTTAATGGGATCAGAGATGTAAAAATGGAGATTTTTATAGGATGTGATGTTATGAGATTTGTTTGCCACTTGTAGCTGACAATGTTATCATGACAATTTATCAAGATGGATCAGAGTCTGTGTTCATTGTAACATACTGCCCTCCCTATGGAGGTCCCCAGCAAAAAAAGAAATTGCCATTCTACAGTACAAGATGTACCAAGAAAAAGACCTTTTAACACATTCAAAACCTACTTGATATCATCTGCTGGACACCTCTGCTAGTAACGCACAGACAGGACAGTTCTAATCACTGGAGTAAAAATTTTCCCGCTTGCACAAGGTGACATAAGGAGGTCTTTAACATTATATAAGAAGGCCTTTTTTTAACACCTTTTTTATTAGGTTTTCCAACAGTACAAAATGTAAGAAAAAACACAAACAGTCAGACAAACATTTGCCAGTGCGCAGAATCATACATAAGAAGGCCTTTTAACTGAACACTTAATTTTTGGACAGTTTTATTTAATTAGTTACTTAGTTGTTAGATTTATATTAATCTCCATCTCAAACTTAGGGGGTTATTCATGAAGGAGCCGAAGGATCCAGCCATAGCTTCAGCTGATCCTGCGGCTCTGTTCGGCCACCGGAGCCGCTGCTGTACGGGCTATTCACTATGGCCCGTACAGCCGCCGAAGGCTCAGCTGAGCTGAAGGCATATGCTACGGCTCGACTGAGCCGAAGCGGGGTGAACGGGCTGCCGAAGGCCGCACTTCCGCCCTGAAAATGACAGCTGGGCAGAGCCAGCCGTGATCTCACGTCTTGCTCCGCCTAGTTGTAATGACAGATCAGCGTCCCCAAGTGACCTGGGGACGCTGAGCTGTCATTAAACAATAACAACTGGGCAGAGCCGGCCATGGCATCATGGCTGGATCCGCCCGGTTGTTATTTATTGGGCGAGACCTACTAGAAGACTCTAGCAGGTGCCGGCCAATAGGAAACAGTTGGGCGGAGCTAGCTGTCACTTTTTACAAAAATCTTTATTTCTTTTTACATTTTTCTATTTATTTAAATTTTCGACTATTTTCATTGATTTTCTATTCTGCTTGGTACCACAGAGGTAAATCAGACTGTTTCATATATATTTTCATTGCCTGCACAAAGAAAGTGATACCGGCATGCCAGAAATGAGCATAGTTTCACTGAAATGAAGACAAGGTGGCATGACTCTGGGTGGGGGCTGAATAATTTATGGGTAGAGATTAAAATATACCTAAAACCAAAAACTTTTTTACATTTTGGATACATTTAAGTGACACTAAGCTAAGGAGTTAACTCTTAATGATACATTCAAATACCCACTCTTTTTTTAAATTGCTTATTTGTGTATCACTCAGCTGTAGATCCTCAAATCATCTCTGAATTGGTGCTGACAATGTCCTTCCTTCTGGAGGGTGCCTACTTTTGTTCCCCATGGTCCCAGTAAAGCTTGCCCCCGTGATGGACTAGAATCTAACTACAAATTATTATACTAAACATGAGATTGTAGTCCATCACAGGAGTGAGCTTGGAACGGTGGATACTTTACAACACACACAGGGACCATGGGGAACAAGAGTAGCCACCCTCCAGAAGGAAAGACAGTGTCAGCACCAATTCAGAGATGATTTGAAAATCTACACCTGAGTTTCGTGTCACTTTAAAAATAGTTTGCACCCCTGTTTGGTCACCAGGAAAAGTTGAAGGGGTGAATGTCCCTATCAGGTATAAAGCCAGCAAACAAAACCTGACAGGGGTTTAACTCTTTAGCACTCCATCCAAGACTTAAAAAAAATATGTTTTGACTTAAACTACACTAAAGTAACCAAGGACTGATATTTGAAAAAAATTGGCAGAATTAATTGATATATTCTCAAGCGGTAAGGAAATGCAAGTACATAGAGAAATCACCTAAAGAAATAAGGAAAAGTGAGAGCAATTATAAATAATAGAACCAATGCCTCAGGTGTGTAATGTACCAGACTGTGATTCAGTATTTCAGATTATGACTCCCTTCAAAGTAAGATTGTTCCAAATGAATATTTTTTTATGCCATGTATAACACGTAGTATTAAATCTAAACCACCGTATTTTATATTCCATTAATCACGGGACTCAGAGCTTCAATTGACTCATTTGAAGTTTTGTGGTGCCTCTTTTAAAAAATCAATTATCTGAACTTTTACAAAGTAAAGGCAATTTGTCATTTGCACTTTTATATCACCTGGCCCCTGGTATTCCATTGGTGATAATTTGCAAGTCTAATAATAGAATGGAAAGGGCACAGAATGACGTATGGGGATGTTAATTGCAGGTGGTGTTTAAAACTAATGATTTACAATCACTAGTGGTGTAATTAAAGGGGGACCATTTCAGCCAAGTCTAGCTTGATAGAACTGGTGGGTTTTCTTGATTCACTATTCTGCATAAGGTACATAGTTTAGTACTGCTTAAAAAGGACCATTCTTTCTCAATGTCTCACTCTGGTAAGTTTATAGCATATAATAATTACTTAGAGATCAATCCTCAGATCCAGTAGAGTGGTACAATGTTAAAGTGGTTTTAAGAGACATCAAATGATTTATAACCACTGTTGACTGGTTTTAAAATGGGTTTTATTTTCAGAGCAAACTCTGCTGTCTATTGGTGATATTTGCTAAGTTAACATCATCAAAAAGTAACAAAAGATTTGGCTGTTTATTAGCACTTTCAAATTTGTAATACAACTGTAAGGAGTAGCCATTGGTAGTGTAATCCACAGTCCTGCTGGACTCATTGTGGTTGGTCGGCTCATGGTGGGATGCAAGAAGGGAAATGTCCATGGTTTCCCTGATACCTAGAAGTGGTGAAGAGGTTGTAGAGCACTTGCCTTAGCAATGCCAAGAGCCAATGTATAAAGAGAGGCAGAGATGAAGAAAATGCTGGATGAGCCAGATGAGCTAAGAGGTGGATATTTGAGACAATCAACTTGGTGAAAAAAAAAATGCTGCATGAAGAACCGCTAGATGGCCTCAAACTGGTACCAAGAAAATAAAGAAAACCTAACAAACTACACAACACAACTGATAGATAAAACTGGCAAACAAAACCTTAATGAAAGATTGCTGATATTTAGAAATCCATTTTAAAATGCTTTATATTTTTTTTACATTAAATAGTTCATGTAATTAAAAACACTATTTAACAAATAGAGGCTGTTTATACTTTTATATGTATCAATGGTTTTGAAATAAAATGTATGTAGAAATGTGTTATAAAATAGCAGCTCCATGTAAAGAGACACTAAACTCAGGAGTTAAATCTTAACAATACATTCAATAAATCTTAATAATACATTTAACGAAAATGTATCTTATTTGAGCATCATGTGGCTGTAGCTTCTCAAATCATCTCTGAATTGGTGCTGACACTGTCCTTCCTTCTGGAGGGTGGCTACTTTTGTTCCCCATGATCCCTGTGTGTGTTGTAAAGTAGTCACCGCTCCAAGCTTGCTCCTGTGATGGACTACAATCTCAATACAAATTAGTAAACAAAACGTGAGATTGTAGTCCATCACAGGAGCAAGTTTGGAGTGGTGGCTACTTTACAACACACACAGGGACCATGGGGAACAAAAGTAGCCACCCTCCAGACGGAAGCACCGTGTCCGCACCAATTCAGAGATGATTTGAAGATCTACAGCCGAGTGATGCACAAATAAGATAAATTTTTGTTAATAGTTAAGGTACTTGAATGCATTTTTAAGATTTAACTCCTAAATTTAGTGCCACTTTAATATACAACAATCCAACACCAATCCAGTGCTACTCAGTAAAAATAGTTAAAGGAAGACAGCAGCTCAGAAAAAAAATCTGCACATATAAAAAAGACTTAGCAAGCAATATAAGTTAAAAAAATTGCATCTCAGCAAAAGTAAATTTAAAGTAGATCTAAACCTAAGCACTAAATTATGTGTGTTAACATAATTTTATTTTAATAGTGGTTTTCAATATTTTTACATCTGCAGCTTGCATTAAAATAACACCTGGTGACCCAGTGAAGATTCATGTTAAGGCACTTCCTGTTATGGGGTGACAACTGTCTCCTAATTGTGTTCCTGTGTTGTCCCCTGTCAAACATGCCTCTGTTGAAGACTACAAGTGGTTGTAAAGACACACATTGCAAAGGCATGGTTCACTATTGTCACTATTAGGGAGCCAACAGACCAGAGCAATGATGAGCAGCCGATTGTAAAGTGAGTGCACATACACAGAAAGTGTAGTGTAGAGTCTGGAGGAGATCAGCAACACTGAGATGCAAATAATGATTATTGAATATAATTATGGAAGTTGTATATGATGCACAGCGCTTAAGCAAACTAAATTTCATCCAGTTAGAATTTAGATGTAATTTAAATATTGTCCATCAACATGAAGAAGAGTCTCATTATGCTCCTCCACTCAGAAATGTGGTCTTCTTGTAGATAAGTGCCAGTGCAAACGCAATCCATTGCAAGTGCAATCCATTAGTGTATCTACTGGCAAGATTAAGGACCTTCCCTGCCGCAGTTACCAAACAGTGTGCCACCTGTTCAGCAAATCATATCCAATTTAATACCTTTGAACTTTTTGGTATGTGATATCAGGAATTCCTGATCAGATTATACATGACAGTTTTGAGGTTTTACCTTAATTTTTCAGTTTTCTTGTTAGGTGCTCTGCATCTTTGAGAATCATTTTCTAATTTATCCAGTACCAAAACAGCCATTTAAATGTATAAAGTAACGTTAATACTATGAACTAAGTGGCTATTATGTGTACATATATGGATAAATTTGCGAGGGAGATACAAAACCAAACAATAATGAAAATGGCTGTCACGGATGACCAATCTTTGGAAGTCAGCCAGTTTTCCCTCCATGTCAAATCCACTACCTTCAAAGGGAATTTGCTTGTGTCTGCGTTTCATTGGTTCCAGAC